TATATATATATATATATATATAAAGGTGTTTTAAACCCTCCTCACACTCTTGCAATATTCTAAACAATGTTTATAAAATCTACACACTTTAAAAGAGCACAAAATGTAATAAACTTAGCCCTCAGCCTCCGGCTGCTCTCCGCCATCTGCCAGCACTCTCGGCCACGCCCACTTCTCTTCTGTAGCGCAGAGATATGACATGGTGCAGAAAGAAGTTTCTCCTGCAGCTGTGGGCTGCACACAAGTGCAGCAGGTGCTGAATAATTTAAAACAATTTACTTTAAATAAAATAATCCATGCCAATTGTGCAGATCATCCATCAATCAGCCAATTGTGTGTCATGTCCAATCTTATTTTGCAAAAATGTGATAGAGCGAATCCGTGAAAAACGAACCGCAAAGTAGCGAGGGACTACTGTACACGATTAACCCAACAGAGTTATTGATACTCCTGTCAGTTTCATTTCAATTCAGTTTAATTTAAAAAGTCACAACAGAAGGTATCTCAGGGCACTGTACAAAAACATTCATATACAGTACATACAAATCCAGTTAATGACATTACTGTATTTATCTGATGGGTAGCCAGCAGACTGAATTGAGATTGCACTCAGTTTTTTTCATCTTATGTGGAGAAATAAACATTCTTGACATCATCATTGCAGGAGTTTAATTTGCATTTGTAAGTGATCTTAGTATTACATGTACATTCAATTCAATAAAAAAAAAAAAAAAAACTTTATTAATCCCAAAGGGAAATTATTTGTTGTTGTAACTCGTTATCCTCATTTCATTAAGAGACGCTATAGATACTGATGGCTGTAGGCAGGAAGAATCTCTTGTAAAGGTCCATCCCACAGTGGATCCTAAGAAACTGGCTGCAGATGCCGTCCGATCCGTCCACCCAGACTCGGCTGGCCTCTCGGTTCCCCCAGGCTGTAGGACTGCCCGAATGCCGGGCAGAACTCCTCCCAGAGCGATGGCCACTCCTCCCAGCAGTCTGCCGAGC